AACCCCTAAATATAGGCCATATTAATTAAAGAAGGTAATTAATTACCTATGGTCACGAGACATGTAATAATACATCGGCATGTCAAATTGCAGCTTCAACATCCGTACCAACAAATTGTATTCATTCCATCGAACATAGATGCTTTGAGAGGTACGGGGTCGGAATCATCAAGCTTCGCCCACACAAAGTCGATCGTACTGAAAACCGAAGCACTATTGGTTTCTCTTTCATGTTTCTTCTTTCGGTTTCGTGGATTCTTCACGTGACCTATTAAGGTTATTACACTTTTTGCCCGGTACTATTTCACTATATTAATTTTAGTCCCCATATTGGTTTTAGATCACTTTTGGTCCCTCAATAAAGTCATTTTATTAGAGCCCATATCTAATTATATTGTCCTTATACGTAATTTTCGTCCGGCTGCATTCAACATTTACTCCGTCTGCATTTAGCATATTTGGTCTTGTATTTAGCTTTTTCGAGATTTTTTTTTATTTATTTTTTATTATTTTTTTTAATTTTGTTTATAATAAATATGTCAATTCATTTGCACATGTATTCGAATTTTCGACTGTTTGATAAACAATAATGCAGCTATTATATTGCTATGTTCCTATGCAAAACACTAATTGAATTGGAATTGCACGGTAAGCTATTGGTGTTGTAGTCCAAAATGTGTCTTCAGCAGCACCCGCCTATCCCCTTAATTCATTCTTACGTGTCGCTTCACGTGATTTTCACGAATTACACCTGCAGCATGATAAACAACAACATAACTGAAAAACATTATTACATAAAAATTATAAACAATGGATACTTACAATAAAAACATGAGGCGAATGGAGAAGCACATTTTGGATGTTATTTTTCAATTGTTGCCAAATGTGGCTGGTAAAGAATGTGCGAATTAGGTGTAAAAAAGGGAAACAAAAAGTGATCTTTTCGCATCGGCAGCAGTGTGCACTTGAAAATATTTTGCAAGGGAAAGAAGAAACAGTGGCCCCTCTCTCTCTTGTTCGGAAATCCAATAGCTCTCTCTCTTGTTCGGAATCCATTAGCACAAAGAAGCAGCTAATTAATTAAACCTGAAGCTAATGGGATATAGTAGTTGGAGGTAAGAGACCATGCTAATTGCAAACCAGCCTTTTTGTTTCAAAATCGAACCGAATATAGATTCAATCTAGTACTTATAATAAATCAAGATAACAGAATATTCTGATCTACTGATGAGAACACGCCTAGTTTCACTGAAACAAATTCCGGCCGTCTCTAACAACAATTAACCTCAATGGCGTGCTGATATTTGCAAGAAATCAAGCTTTTAAAGTTGGTAGTGATATGGATAGAGAAAGAGACTAGCAAGCACCACATGCGTTGCACGTGATTACGTACGATTTTCCTTAGTATATAACTTATTATTAATTAATAAAAGTACATACTATATTTTACAAAAAAATATATTTTTAAATAAAATTATTCTAAAATTATATTAATAAGAACATAAAACCACAAGAAAATAACTAAAATAAATTATTATATATTAATTCATGCATGGAAAATGCTCATATTTTTTTTTTCTTAATTTGTTGTGATAGTTGATAATTTTCATTATCTTGTATTTCTCTGTATAATTATTGTTTGAAACAATTAAGTATTTTTCGTGTTACTCGTATGTTACTCTGGTCAAATTTACCAACAATTTTCTTAAAGAAATTTTAAATTTACTTCATCAGGATCCTGATATTTGGTGTGAGTACAACTACAGTGCCTCTAATTTGAAAAATGCATATCTCCCTTGAATTTGGATAGTAACTAAGACTTACTTCATTTGATCATTTACTTTTTTTTAAATTATATTTTCACTTCTGACCAAATATTGAGTAAACTATATTGACCTTCCTTCGGTCTAATTGTACGTATACGCCATTATATTTACTTTCTTTCTTTGACCTCAAAATTCATCCACGTCTATTACTTAAATATTTACTTTACTTTCATAAATTCTTTTATTAATATTGAAGTTTGAGCTACAATATAATATTTATAAAATTTACTTAAGTAAACAATAAGACTAATAATCATTAAGTACTCCCCATGTCCCATATTATTTGTCTATTTGGGGTATTTTTTTTGTATCAAATTATTTATCATTTTAGAGTTTCACAATAAAACATTAATCGTATTTTTATTAATTTTGTCACTTACCACTCTTAATTAGTTAATTGAAAAATAATTAATGTCAACGGTATTTTAGTATTTACTATATTATTTTTAGTATAATATATGCATATTTATTAAGTTTCTTAATATACGTGCAACCACCCTAAACGACATCTAATATAGGACAGAGGGAGTATATAATAAGGCTAATTATTACATCTAAATATTAAAAATGCATTAAACGTAGAGCCCTCAATTTAAAAATAAAAAGTCATTTTTATGTGATTACTTATTTATATACATATGCTATGAGCTAATTGCATAAAACCACCTGTGTAATCTCGAATGGCCGAAAAAGCCCTCGTGTTAAAAAAATTAGGAAGAACCCCCTTATGTTATCTTCTATAAAGCACACTGCCCCTTATTTCGCTTTTTGTTGTTGACTTAAGGGAAATGACAAAATTACCCTGAATAAAAATTTAAACAAAATAAATATACCCAACCCAAAAAAAATTGAAAAAAAAGGTATCAAAAGAAAATTAAAATAAAAAATAAAATTAAAAATCAAAATCAAAATGAAAATCAAAATCAAATTAGTGTTTAATTGTTCTTCTCCATCAAACCACCCCACCCCCAACCCAAATCCAAATATAGACAACCACTATCCATGAAAGCTCTCTAATGATGCATCAACCGTCGCACACGTCCGGGAACCATCGTCTACCTGCAATTGCAGCAGCGTGCGGTGGATCTTGCCATCGTGAGTGAGGTACGGTGATTATGGCGGCGGCTTTGGTGGCGGTGGTTATAGCGGTGGCCGTGGTGAAGGTGGTTTTGGAGTCGACCTCACTCATGTACGAATCAAAGATTACAGAATTTTGAATCGAGGTTTGGGAGGTATGCTGCCAACCCTCGAACCTAAGAACGAATTGCAGCCGGTTTAGATCTATTTTTTGCTGCCGACTTCCAAACGACGCCGTTTCGGAGGTGAGCTCGACGATGCCATTTCGGGGTAGAAATCGAGATTGATGTTTTATGATGACGAAGACGTCAGAGATGGTGTGAAGCTAGTTGAGTGAACTTTTTTGTTTATTTTGGAGAAGATGGTTTTTTTGAAAAGGTTAAGGATTGAATTGAATTTTTTTGAAAACTTCATTTTGGGGCATATTGAATTTCGATGTGAATTTGTAATTTTTGAAATTTATAATTTAAAGGGCATTTTGGTCCTTTCCGGCTGAAAAATATCCCCACAGTCGCACAATCCGCGTGTGGAGCACACGATAAGCTGGGAGGGGCCTTATTGCCTTTGACTAATCTTTATATGGGGGTTATTGCTAATTTTTTTAACACGAGAATTTTTTCAGCAATTTTAGATTACACGGGGGTGGTTTTTGCAAAAAACCCTAATATTTATTCTATCTTGTTGTAGTTTAGGAGGAGAACCAAATTTATGTAAAAACTTCAAATTTAAAAAGATTAATTGCAAATTTCGGTAGAATTTAGGAAATATTAGAAACAAATAATGACAATAAAACCTTGCTTATCTTTATAATAAAGAAAGAAACTATGGGCATGCAACTCTAAAAAACCCTAATAATATATATGTAATTATTTATTTTTAATATTTTTCTTGTACTAATTTCTAATTATAATTTTCAACAATTATCAATTTCCTATTTTTCATCAATATATCTCAAATCTTAAGAGATAAATATAGAAATTCGATTTGTGAAATCTTAATATGTAACATTTATAATACTACATTGTTAAATTTTACTATGTTAGTGTAATATATTTTTCTTATTATATATTAAATTGATTATGTTTTTTCACTTTTAAAATAATACCACGTGCATCACACGGGGAAAAGGCTAGTATATATAAAAAAATAAAACATTAAAGGATTTGCATTTAGATATTGATGATTGGTTGATGGATACTTAAGAGTATGACTTATCTCCAACCTGACTACTTATATATACAATTATATTTTTAGATAATTGCAAAAAATGAATAAAACGTAACTTATCAAAATTGATGGTGGTTTAATTTGCAGCTAAAATATATACACTACCTCTATATATAAACAAGGTTCAATATTGAATAACGAAACAAACATCTCGCTCATTAATATTTATTCTATCATGTTATAGTTTATGAGAATAACAAAAAATCATTCACATTTTTAAATTCCCAATTTTTATTTTGGATCAAAACATATGTATTTAATCCCCTGAAATTGTGATGTACAATCCGAAATCATTTGCGAAATTTATTATTCATTCCTAAAAACACTCACGAGAAAAAAAGGTGCGAGTTAGCAAGTATAATCACATAATATGCACGTGATCTGCACTTGATTTGCACGTGAATTTGGTTGGGGAGTCAAGCAAAACAATTTATAATTGATAAAGTTTTCATTCATAAATTCTTTTTTAGCTATTTCGTAGTTAATATTTTTTTGAATATTAGTCTTGCCCTCATAGTCGTTTAACAATTTAACAGACTAAAGTATAACAAAAAAAAGAATAACAAATATTAATTATCACTAAATTAGACTAACATAAATATATTTCGCAAATTAACAAAGAGAAAGAGAGGGAGACGTACACTAGAGCCAGGTAAACGGCTAGAGAGATTACAATACCTAAGATCCCAAAAGCGAACACAATACCCGCCATTATAGTGCTACGCAAAATAAAGCTAGGACTGAAAATAAAAAACCGAAATGAATGAATTAACGTACGGCAAATAAGCATCTACAGAACAGTGTGTGTGTGTGCTGAGATTCTTTTTCCTTTTCTTCTACCGCAATTCGCCGCTGTTGCTGAGATTCTTTTTCCTTTTCTTCTACCGCAATTCGCCGCTGTTGCTGAGATTCTTACGGCCGTTTCTCTACACCGTTTTCTCCTCCAATTGATTCTTGCTTTATCTCTCTCTCTCTCTCTCGCCCTCTCCCTCACATGCAATTTTCAGCCTAATTTTTTTTTCCCCTGTAATTCCTTTCTCCTTCCCCTGTAATTCCTTTCTCCTTCCCCTGTAATTCCTTTCTCCTTCTTCCGAATCTTAGTGACGTTTTCCCGCGTCACCCTCTATGTTTTCCTTCTGCTTTCTATTCGTGGTTGCAGGAAAAGAAAAACCTTCCATGGCCGCCGCGTGTAATTGCATCTATGTACGAAGAAACTTTTTTATTCCACTATATTTAGCATTTTAATTCGGTTCATATTTTTCCTATTTTTTCGGTCAATATTGATTCGGTGGATCTGACGATGCTCTTGCAGCCCCTTGTAATATTTTTTTTTATGGGCTCCTATCGGAATTTGCTTCTCCTGATTAAGGATTGTTTGATATTTGCTCAATAAAATGTAATTTCCTTTTTAAGAGCACAACAATCACATTTTACACTGTATGATTACTTTTATGATGAGGTATGGCAGTTTTATTTATTTATTTACTTTTTGTAATTTTATGATAATTTGTTAGTATACTTACTTGTACCCAATTTACTACAGAAGCAAGTATATCTGATTCTAGAATATGCTGGCAAGAGAGAACTCTACAAAGAGCTTCGGTTTGTAACTTCACTTTCGCGAATGGTCTGGCAAGTTCCCAAGGGTAATCGTTGTTATCTCAGTTTGTTTGATGTTAATTAAAGAAAATAATAACTTAGTCAAGGGCTTTGTAATAGGTCAGTTCTGTGCAACTTGCAGATAAATTTTATTGAAACAAGACTGTGAAAAACATATTTTAAGGTAGTAGTAATTATGATTTCAGATTTGGGATTCATTTTCGTGAGGATGATGTACTTAGAACTCTGCGACTGATTTTTCGGAAAAAGTAAAAATAAAACTTTTGTTGTTTTCTTCTATGGGCTGAAAAGGAATTTTGATATCTCCTCAAGAGAATGTGTAGTGTTTTATATTAGCATTGAATTTTTCTTTCTCTCTTCAGGCTTTGACGAAGCAAGCTTTTTCTAATGAAAAATACATTCTAATTTGTTTCAGGGAATATTTCCTTGATTTTATACGGAAACAACTTTGATGATTTCCAATGATGGTAGCAACTGATTATGGAGCATTGACAATTTGAGGCGTATATTTCAATCCTTTGAATTTTATTTTTTTCCTATCTAGAAACTTAAATCTTTTGTCTCAATTCTTTTCAGACCTGATGATTCGTCCATTGGCTTTGGTGCCCTTGTTCGGGCAAATATAAGAATAGTCGGAGATGTTACAAGTGCTACTGTAACATCATCGTTGCTAGAAACTATAAGCTTCAATACATTCTGCTAAACATTATATTTAGAAACATGACTACATGCAATAAATATTTTGTGTTATGTATTACGCTGGAAAAGAGTTTGCATATGTAGTTGCATTTTGTAAGATTTGAAGAAGAGCAGTACAAAAGAACAAATTTCTTATCTACAGTCTACAGTTCTTGAAGCTCATGTTGAATATGTGGTTTCTCTAAATTTTGTTTCTACGGACTATAAAGGAATAAGATCTTCACCGTTGCTTGCTGCCGTTTTCCATTTTTTTCTTTGTTTTATCTGCAATGTAGTGATTTTATTGTTGTATGGTTAAATAGATCGGGCACCGGCGCCGCGCCTTGCGCGGAGCCCCACCCCTAGTATATATATATATGTCTATGTCTATCTCTGTAATACAGACTATGTATATAGATATGTATATGTTTGTATATATATATATATATATATATATATATATATATATATATATATATATATATATATATATATATATATATATATATATATATATATATATATATATATATATATATATATATATATATATATATATATATATATATATTTTTTTTTTTTGTGATTAATTGTTTTTATATATATATATATATATATATATATATATATATATATATATATATATATATATATATATATATATATATATATATATATATATATATATATATATATATATATATATGTGTGTATGTATGTATGTATATGTATATTTTATGTAAATTTAGTTACTGTTTGTTTGATATTTTTTTTTTTTGTGATTAATTGTTTTTGTGTAATAAATTTAGTAATTCTTTTGTTTTTATGAATCTGTGTGCATAACAATATGTTTTACTTCCCGTATTTGTAATCCAAGTAAAGCAACATCTAATATATTTTTGATATTTTATGAAGTTTGATGTCACACTTCGAATTGGAAGTAATAAATAATTACTAGGAGAAAAAAAAAGAGGAAAATAGCAAAACCCGAACCCGACCCGAGATAACCGGGTACCCGGTTATCTCGGGTCGGGTTCGGGTAATTTTTTTTTTTTGCAAAAAACCCGAATAACCCGACCCGACACGAATGCCCACCCCTACTCCTCATAGCATGCTTCGCTCAAATTTTTCGATATTATGAAATCTTATTCCAAATAGTCTCCAATATATATTGCATATATTGAAAAAAATTCTTTTAATCAATTTAGTAATAATCTCTTACGTTTTAAATTAAAAAAGGTTTGTCTTAGTCAGTAAAATATAAATTTAGTTTTCTTCACAATTGATGACCTTAAAAGCCAAGTGATAACAATTGTTGATCTAATTAAAATACTGATCATGGTATCATCTTTCTTTTATTTTGAATTATTAATTATTCTTGAAAACAACTCTAAGAAATTATATAATTACGAATTTGCACGTATGATCACATAATCACGTAATATGTACGAGATTTATACGTAATTTGCACTTAATTTGCACGTGAATTTGATCATGGTCAAGTTATTGAATGACTGTTACCGTAATTGTTTAAAAAAAAATGCCACGCATATATGAATATGGGAGAAAGAAAACTCACCAAGCTTATAAGATGTTAAAAAGAGGTTATAAGATGTTTAAGAGCTTATAAGCTCCTCCAAAGTATTTGGTATTTTTTTAAGAAAAGATCTTAATTTTTTTTTAAATAAGTTGTTGGAGAGAAAATAAGATCACCTCACATTTTTATTTAAGATCTTATAACAAGGAAAAATAGCTTATAAGATCAATAAATCATTATCCAAACACTTTAAAAACTTATTCTAAAAGTAAGATGTAACAACTTATCAGCTCTTAAAGCATCTTATCAGACGTAAGAGCTTATCAGTTGTTTAAAATAAATTTGGCCAAACAGGCCCGTAGAAGATTATGACCTAACAAGTAAATTATTTTGACTTAGCGCTGTAATTAGAGATGCAATGTCTTGTATTTAGATGTAACTTGTGCCATGCACGTTAGTGATTATTAATTATCAATCTCAATATATCTCATTAACACTTCGGAGGTATCCTTGAACCATATACGAGTTCTACGGAAACACAGCTATATCATCTCTGTTAGAGCAACTCCAACAGAGAAATATCAAAATGGAGCACTAAACATTCATTGGATACTTGATATAATACCTTGATATATCAAAAAGAAAAAAAATTACTCCAACCTTAAATATCAAATAGATTATCACATTTTAAATATATGAATATTATATTTTTCAATACCACATCTCAAATAATAATAGATTAATAGAGTTGTTATATTTTTTATACCTCATTTTCCAGAAAGCATTTTCGCACCTTAGAGTGGTTGAGTATCAAAATAAATACTATTAGAGGAGGATTATTTACGAGTATCAAAATGATAATTTTATAGTTTGATACCTGTTTAGGTTCTTCAATGGAGTTGCTGTATTTTTTATAAACGAGTGTAAGATCACTTTAATGGAATTTACCATTAAGGTCACTCGCATCTAGACTCCACAAAACACCATACAACAACTTAATTTGTTATTAGCAAACTAATTGATATGTGGTAATTTGAGAAAATAAATATAATTTAAACAAAAAGATTGAGAGATATAAGATGACGCAGGACGGAAGCACGGTAAAGAATTAATTTCTACGAATTAATCCTATAGAACAAAATAACATTCGGAATCCACCGAAAACTCTGGAATCCACCAGAAAAATAGAGAAAACTCTAAATATTTTATTAAAATTCGAAAATCTTCTAAAATAAAGTCCTAAGGCATCTATTTATACTAAAAAACTGAAAACCCTAATTAAAATAAGAAAATACTAAAAATTACCAAAAACGGCAAAAACGAGTTAGAGTCTGATTCTAGTAGATCTCGTAATTTTGGGAACAACCCAATTTACGGAATCCTAATCCGATTTTTCTATGATTTGATATTAATTTTCTAAAACTTACCTAAAATAGCAAAAACGAACTTTTGGGAGTCTAAACGACCTTGGATTGCTGAAATTTGACGTGATTCATGAGCTTTGCTCATGAGTTTTGTTCCTTACGCCGTTTTACTTGAGATAGAGTTCGTTTCATACTCAACTACGATTTAAGTTCGTCGAAAACCCTTATTTTCCCATAATTTCTTTCGATATTTCCACCAATGCCCATTAATAACTCTTCTCCGAATTAAATAGTTATTTTGCAACACGAATCCAATTTGACGTTCCTTATCAATCTCCTCTTCTTCAAAAGAGCTCGACCTCGAGCTATGATCAAAATATAGCGATGCATATTTCTTTCGAAACAACTTCAAGTGCTCCACCAATATTCCCGGCACAAAAATCTCGCTTTCAAAATCTTCATCCAAACGAGGCGTTGGAAAAATTGGCTTCTTAATCGAAAATCTCAATGGCCCCACCAATTTCGCCGATGCAGGAACTTCACAGCAAACATTATCTACAATTAGATCACATACCTCAACGCAATCCACTTGTTCCTTCTCTTCACGTGCACCTTCCTCTTCTTGAACAAATTTTACAACTTCAAATTCTTCCTCAAATTTATTTTTAACACCCTCTCGAAACTCATCGACTTCTTCTTCAAACTTGCTAACATTGTCTTCTACCCTATTGTCGCTCTCTTCAACGTTGTTGATGCTCGCTTCAAGCTCGTTGAATGTCCCTTCAACTTCGTCGATGTTCACTTTGACTTCGTTACTGTCATCGTTAATAATAGCTACGCTACTTTTAATTTTTACGACAATTTCCTCTTCAACTTTGTCAACTCCTACGTCATGATCCTTCACCAAATTTGGAGGTTGAATAACGAACGAAGTATCTTGTGCCTCCTTAACTTTGACAACGGGTGGAACATCTTCGGTTTTTCTAGAAACACTATTTCGCTCATAATATTCCGCCCTCCATGCTGACTCTTGAGCCTCTTCAAGGGTGTAGAATATACGCCACCCCATCCTAAGACGTATTGAAATATTCAAACCTGCCAAGTACCGTGAAATTTCCGTACTTTCGGGTTCTTGCAGGTTATTTAAGTTTGCTAGTCTCTCAAACTCAGCAGTATACTTGTTAACAGATCTACTCCCTTGCGAGCAATTACGATATAGTTGAAATAGACGTTGCTCATAACCTAAGGGTAAAAAACGATCCATCAACATTCTTCTCATCCTCCTCCATGATTGGATTGGAAATTTTTCTTGTCTAGCTCTCTTCCTCTGTATATCATCCCACCATGCGGCTGCACAACCCTTTAACTCACACCTAACCAATTTTACCATCTTATTCGGCAAAATATCCATCAATTCAAAATAATTTTCGACTTCTGATACCCAATCGATAAAATCCTCAACTTCAAGAAAATTTCCACTAAAAGAAGGAATTTCAGCTCTTACCCGATATTTATCACGATCTTTTTGCCTCTTTATAGGCGGATTTTCTTCAAAATCAGAGTTGCCGCTCACCTTTGAATAATCGTCATACCTTGATTGAAGTTGAGCAGATCCATGATAATTGTGTCTAACATATGCACCTCGGGCTACACCGTCGGCAATACCCATGCTAGATCCAGTTCTTCTGTTGTTGTTGTCAAGGGCAAATCCCTCGCGTACCAACCTCAGATTTTGCAGTTTCTCAACCCCGCGGTCATCGCCAACGTAGTTTTTGTCTCCATATCTTGCACCTTTCGCCATCTAACCAGGAAAAACCTCGCTACTGATGCCAACTGACGCAGGACGGAAGCACTGTAAAGAATTAATTTCTACGAATTAATCCTATAGAACAAAATAACATTCGGAATCCACCGAAAACTCTGGAATCCACCAGAAAAATAGAGAAAACTCTAAATATTTTATTAAAATTCGAAAATCTTCTAAAATAAAGTCCTAAGGCATCTATTTATACTAAAAAACTGAAAACCCTAATTAAAATAAGAAAATACTAAAAATTACCAAAAATGGCAAAAACGAGTTAGAGTCTGATTCTAGTAGATCTCGTAATTTTGGGAACAACCCAATTTACGGAATCCTAATCCGATTTTTCTATGATTTGATATTAATTTTCTAAAACTTACCTAAAATAGCAAAAACGAACTTTTGGGAGTCTAAACGACCTTGGATTGCTGAAATTTGACGTGATTCATGAGCTTTGCTCATGAGTTTTGTTCCTTACGCCGTTTTACTTGAGATAGAGTTCGTTTCATACTCAACTACGATTTAAGTTCGTCGAAAACCCTTATTTTCCCATAATTTCTTTCGATATTTCCACCAATGCCCATTAATAACTCTTCTCCGAATTAAATAGTTATTTTGCAACACGAATCCAATTTGACGTTCCTTATCATAAGAATTACGAG